AAAGTCATGTGAATGTGTTACCTATTCGAAAACAGTAATTTTAAAGCAGTTCCAGACTGATTAAATATCTAAATTCAATAAGAAAAAAACCTAAACAAAAATGAGTATATTTAGGACTTCAGAAAAAAGAAATAATTCTAGTATAAGAGGCAAAATGCAAAAAAAAAGGAAAATATTGATCAATTTAACTACATTAAAAATTTTAAACTTACGATCAACAAAATCCTCATAAAATTAAAATATAACCCTTAGATTGAGAAAAGATATTGTAAAACCTGTAACTGACAAAATTAACACAAATTAACAAGAACAATATAAGTAACTATGTAAAAATAAGCAACTGACATGAAAAGGCAGTTCAGAGAAGACATCTCAAGGGCTAAATATGAAAAAATGTTCAGTATTGCAAGGAATCCTGAAAATATATATTAAAACAACAGTGGGAAACCACTTCCCACCCACCAGACTGGCAAAAATATAAGACTTAAGAACATGGAATGTTGACAAGGATTTGGGGAAATATGAACTATTCTATAATGTGGTAGGAGGGTAAATTAGCACCACTTCGGAAAGTAAGTCAGTCAGGGTCCTCAATAGGATGCAAAGGAAACTAAATGACTAATTAAAAAAAAAAAGGTGTTTATATTTATTGAAAAAATACTGAGAAGCTTACAGACTTCCACAAAGCCTGGATTACAGGCTTGGAAAAAAGAACAAAGAATGCTCTGCTGACAATCCGGAGCTAATTTATGCCAGTGAACCAGTCTGGGGAGCCATCCATGCGGCTAGCAAGCACAATTTCTTCTGTCACTAGATTCAACATCAGCATCCTGAGTGGGGGAAAGGGAGTGTGTGTGAGGGGGGTGGTATCTGTTTGGCCCTGCTTTGGTCTCAGTCCTGTGCTCTAGCTGCCCAAGGGGCTGGCGAGGTATCACACACTTCAGCTTCTATAATGGGAGGTAAGCTCTGCTTCCTATGAAGTCTTTTAATAGGAACGTCCTCAAATATAGGAAGAGGATTCAGATTCAGGGCAGCAAAAAATACCAAATGTCCTTAGAAGAGAATTATCTATTTTATGACCAGCAATTCCATTTCTGAGTGTAAACCCCAGAAACTTTTCTACACGTGTACGAGCAACTGTTTACTCATATATTCATTGCAACATTGTCTTCAAAAGGGAAAAATAGGAAGTTGAAATTCATTAGCAGGTAAATGGATAAATGGTTTTGCTTATACAATAAAACACTATAGTGTAATTAAATGAATGAACAAGATCTATATTTATCAACATTAATAAATCCTCAAAAACAGTGGTGACAAGAGAACACATTTGCAGAAGAATACACAGTATGATAGTATTTACATAAAATGTAACCATATGTAAAATTATATATTTCGATATATATGTAATAAAATAAACACATGCATGGAAAAGGTACATAGCTACTTCAGGATACCTTTGAGAAGAAGAGAGGAGTTAGGGTAGTTTTAACAATGACATTTTATTTCTTTATAAAAAGGCAAATTTGGCACCTGGATGGCTCAGTTGGTTAAGCACTGCCTTTGGCTCAGGTCATGATCCTGGGGTCCCGGGATCGAGTCCTGCATCGGGCTCCCAGCTCATGGGAAGTCTGCTTCTCCCTCTGACCTTCTCCCATTTCATGCTCTCTCTCCCTCTAATAAAAAATCTTTTTAAAAAAGGCAAATTTGGAAAATACTAGTATTTTCATAATGGACAATGTCAGTTTCACCCAGATCCCCTTGGATTCCTTAATGGACTCAATAAATCAACTCCTACACAACTGTCTGTCTCAGGTCTGCCTCTGGGGAACTTGGTAACACAATCTATTAACATAAGCTCCTACTTAGCCCAACACATGCCCATAACTCTGCCTTCCCCCTGTTACCTAGGGGTGAATGTGCATGTTCAGATATAAAGTGACATTCTGAAATTTGTGTACCAAATTCCACCCCTCTCATATACTCCAGGACATCACTACAAGAGTTGTCTTCTTTCTAACCTTACAAGTTTTTGCTTCTTTAATTTTTTCTGAAGTATACAAACATATTGTAAATGTCACTATCTTTAACAACAACAACAACAAGACCTACCAAAAACTCTCTAGATCCAATTCCCCTTTCTGCCATAACCACATTTCTTTGCTCCTTTACCTTACAAAAGTCATAGAATTGTCTCAGCTTTTCTCCAATTTCTGTCTTCCCAGTTACTCTTGAAACTCACTCAAATGAGATTTTTTTTTTTTTTAAGATTTTATTTATTTATTTGGCACAGAGAGATCACAAGTAGGCAGAGAGACAGGCAGGGGATGGGGGGAAGCAGGCTCCCCGCCGAGCAGAGAGTGGGAGATTCAGGGCTCAATCCCAGGACCCTGAGATCATGAACTAAGCAGAAGGCAGAGGCTTTAACCCACTGAGCCACCCAGGCGCCCCTCAAATGAGATTTTTATTTCTTCGACACCTCCAAACCTGTTCTTGCCAGGGTCAACCAATGGTTTCCATATTGCTAAATCAATAGTTAATTTCTGATCCTCAGTTTACAGAAGTTGACACAGATAATCACTTCCTCCACCTTGAAATACTTTCTTCCCTTGCTGTAATAAAAGCTGGGTTTATTGTTTAGCAATTACTCGTTTTCCTCACCCTTCCACTGTGGGCATTTCTTCTTAAAATTTAAGTCATATGATGTCACTTCTATACTAAAAAATACTTCCCTTAACTCTTTCATCTCATCAATTACTAATGTCTTTACTTAACCCCAATGCAACCACTCTGGCTTCCTTGCTGTTCTGTGAACATGACTATCCCAGGCATACTCATGCCCGAAGGGCCTTTAGCCTTGATATTTCACCAACTAGAATGCTGTAACCCAGTTGGACACACAGGTTTGCCACTTCACCTTAATATTTTGGCCCAAATGCCTCCTTCCATTGAGGTCTTCCCTAGCCACTTTAACATTGAACCTCCCTATCTCCAACTTCCGTATCCCCTTTCCTCTCTTTAATTTCTTCATAGCCGTTACCACAACATAAACACCACATATTTTATGTATTCACCTATGGTCTCCAATTAGAATGACTGTACATTCTAGAAGAAGAGAGATTTTTTTTCATCTGTTTTCTTGTCTGTTGAATCTTAAGGGCTTGGAATATGGCAGTACTTAATAAACATTTATTAAGTGAAAGAAGCCATCTGACATTCTACATATTTGAAATTTCATCAGTATACGTAGATATATATTTTTTAAGATTTTTATTTATTTATTTGAGAGAGAGCATGAGCTAGAAGGTCAGAGGGAGAAGCAGACTCCCCGTGGAGCTGGGAGCCCGATGCGGGACTCAATCCCAGGACTCCGGGATCATGACCTGAGCCAAAGGCAGTTGTCCAACCAACTGAGCCACCCAGGCGTCCCAGTATACGTAGATATTTAGAGATGGATTAGAGAGATAGACTCAAAGGGAAATACAATTAAGTAAATGTCTCCAATTCACAAAGGATCTTCCAAATCTACTAAACTATTTTTTATTTATTTATTAAAGATTTTATTTATTTATTTGACAGATCACAAGTAGGCAGAAAGGCAGGCAGAGAGAGATGAAGGGAAGCAGGCTCCCGGCCGAACAGAGAGCATGACGCAGGGCTCGATCCCAGGACCCGGGAACCCCGGGACCCCGGGACCATGACAAGAGCCGAAGGCAGAAGCTTTAACCCACTGAGCCACCCTGATGCCCCTTTTTAAATGTTTTTATTATGAAAGCAGAGTTTACCTAAAAGGAGGGGGAAATCTTCAGTTTCCTTGACTTCAACATTCTCTTAAACTTGAGCTTTCATGTGTTTTGCATTCCTTTCAATAGCTACTATGTAGGCTCTCAACATCAAACACAAAACATTGAAAGCCTCTTGTTCAATGCAATAGGGTCAGGTGAGGAAGCAAACTGTGTATGCACAGAAAATACTCTTCTGGCCCACAGAACGTTCTTCCTATCCACCACACCTGGTCGTCTGGATCCTTTGTCAGGACTCCCTGCTTGAAACGTAGAGCACAAACCCAGAGGCTACCCTTGTGAGGAGCCTGGGTCAGAACTGCAAACTGCCAGGTTATTTTTCAAGTTTTTAGAAGATAATTCCAGTTCTTGGTTTTGCTTCCTAAGCACTAACTTCTTCAGACTCCTATTTTGATTCCCAGCTATTGGTGCCATGATCCCAAAATTTAACAGAGGTTAAGAGGATCATAACTAGACACAAGGCCAGGTAAGTTAAAAAATAATGGATGCACATACCTGACATTCATCCTCGCTCCACTCCCCAAGCCCACAGTAGCAGATAAAGAGAAATCAGTTCGTTAGACTTTGTTCTCTGCCGCATCTAGTGTGACGAAAAAAGTTAACTTAGATTTTACATTTGTTTTCACTGTTCTAACCACCCCCGCCCCGCCCCAGTATTTGCAGAAAACTTTGTCCAGTTTCTTACTAAGCAGTGATGGAGCCCAAATTGGGCTTCTCTCCTTGGTTGGGTCTGACCTCCATTTTAGACATGAGTTAACCCTCCGAAAAGCTTTATCAGAAGCAGGGACTCCCCCGCCCCCGCCCCTTTTTTCCCCTCTCCACTCCAGCGTCACCTCGGCCAGGTTTTCCTCATTTCGCATTTTTCTACAATTCATTCCTGAGTCATGCATGACGACAACTTTCTCACTATTTACGTTACGCCTCCATATAACCTCAGGTGATGGTCGGGGTGACCAGAAAGAAATGAAACAGTCCAAAGGTCAGAACCCAGATTCCCAAAGTGGCCCGCAGTCCCTCGCAGCGGGCCAAGCTCCAGCGGTCGGGGCGCGGAGGCGCGCGGAGGTGGGACGCTCGCTCCCGGGCGAGCAGCTGGCTCCTCCCTCCCGCCCCTCGCGGGTACCTGGCGGCGGGCGGGGGCGGTGCTGCGCGGCGTCACGCGGCGGGGTGAGAGAGCGGGCAGGTGACAAAGCGGCGGCCTCCTCCCCTTTCACAGCTCAGTCGGCGGCAGGGGCAGCAGGGGCCGCTGTGAGGAGCTCTGCGCTCGCGCCGCCGCCCGCTGCCGCCGCCCTCTGCTCCCGCGTGTCGGCCGCTTCGGCTCCTCTCGTCGCGGGTGAGTGCGGGACTCCAAGCCCGTGAGCTGGGGCCAAACTTTTCCGGGGCGCAGAGAAGCGATGGGGGAAGGGAGCGAGACCTCGGTCGGCAGGGGTCCGGAGCGGTCAGATGGAGGGACCTGGGTACGGCGCGCGGGCAGCGGGATCCGGGTGCGGGAGACCGGGGAGCCGGGCCAGGCCCTCCGTGAGCTGTGGTGAGGCGCTTCGGAAGTTCTCGCACCTCGGCCTGTGGGTGCGGAGGGCGAAGGCCCTTCCCGCGGGAGGGCGGGACGCCGCGCTCACCTGTGCGCTCCCTGGGAGCCCCCCGCCGCCCCTGCCTCCCAAAGGGCCGGTGCTACCGGGCCGCCCTGGGGCTTAGAGCCACCCGGAGCGCTCTGGCGTGGTGGGGACCCTGCTCCTTCGGGCGGGAGGGCTCGCTGGTGGGACTGGGAGAAGGACCTGCTCGACCTTGGCCACCGAGGTCACTTTCCCAGCTCCGGGATCTGACTTCGCTAGCCACCACCCACCCCCCTCGGCAACTCCCCCAATTTCCCGAGTGCCTTTCTTTCTGTTTCCTTCCCCTCTGGGGCGCTTTTGTGTCCTCGAGGCCGGAATGAACTTGGGGGGCTGCTCTCGCAGCGTGGCGCTGCCTCTTTGGCTCCCTGAGCTACACTGTGTTCCGGCGACTGCCCCTGGCTGAGGAGGGTGTAGAGGACTGAGCCGTAGAACGGGTCGTGCTGCAGATGGAGATGGGAACACCTGTTTGATCTTACAAGCTGTCGTTGGTTAGGAAACTGGCCTTTCCCCCCTAATCAGTCAGCGCTGATTCAAACTTACCGGATGCGCAGCGAGCGCTCCTTCGAGCTCCCTGGGGATCCGGGACAGGAAGGATCCGGTCTCTCCCCGGTCCAGCTCTCTGTGGGGCTGGGGAAACACGTCCCACGCCGACTGAAGAATAGTTTTGGCGAGCCAAGCCTTTCTCCTCTTGCAGAGCTGTCCCCTCAGAAAGCGTTTTTACTTAACCCGGTACTCGCAGGTTACTTTTTGTTTCACAGCTTCCCATTTATGGTTCAACGGCTGTGAAAGAATCATCCGTACTCTATGATTGCCTCTGCCTTCTTACTAATCAGTTGCTTACTAATTCCCCTACTTTGTAGTTTCTGCTCCTACTACTGGCCAGAAATTGTTCTCCCCAAGGTCACCAAGGACTAGAAAAATCTTTTCCTCTCAATGGCAGGCATTTATTTAGTGTTTATGGGATGGGCACTGTTCTAAGAACTTACAGTAACTCCTAATCCTCGCAGCGATCCTGTGAGGTTGAAGGATTGTGATACCTCCTAACTTGCCCCAGATCACACAAGTAGCAGGAGGGGATTCCAGCTCAGGCCTCCAGCCCAACCTTGTACATGCTGCCTCACCTAGCATTCCTTGCTTCCTCCTTATTTCCCCCAGTCCTGACCCGAGTGCTTTGAAGCATCACTGACCAGGTTCCCATTCTCAGATCCCTCTTGTGTGGTTTTGTACTAGTTTAGGTTCTTTTTAATTTTTATTTATTTATCAATTATTTTTGGAGATCTCCTCTAGTTATGTGAGTTAAGATTCTGTGCTTTTCCTGTGTCTTACTCAGTTTTAGAGTAGCATCTAAAGTAGTCAGTTTATATTGTAATATTCCTCGTGGACTTGCCCTCTTTGGCCTCAAAGCCTTTCTAGCTAACATCATTTATGTCCAGGGGCCTGTCATTGTCCTAGTCACGCAGGTGCAAAACTCAGCTGTCCTGTCTCCTGTCATCTCACTCCAAATCATGGTATCTCTTCAACTTCTACCTTGTCTCTTCTTCCAGCTTTCATCGAGCCTTACCCCTCCCTGATCCTTCTTCCCCTGTCTCCCTGTTCCCTACCTCTGAACACTCATTTATCACCTATCATTTGTCACTTTCTCCTGTTGGGTATCTTCTCTTGTAAATGTTCCATGTCCATGGAAATATTGTAAACAGTGTAGGACATTACATCTTCAGGCCTTATGTGTAGTAGTCGCTTGGTAAATGTTTGCAGGATATGATGCAGTATGAATTAAGGTAGTGCACAGGTGTGCTTGATGATGGTAGAAACTTTTTTGAAAATTTTAAGCTGGGTTTTAAGGAGTTAGCATTGGTAGACATAGGTGAGCTGGCAGACATTGTGAAAGAGGAGAAAAGCCTCTGCTGGCTACGTTGCTGCAGAGAGGAATCCAGTTATCCTGGCTAAGCATTACAGTTAGTTATGTGGCTGTAGGACCATAACGGTGGATAATTATGAATCCTAATCCTACCTTAGCAAAACAAGACAAGAAACCAACATAGGAACTTACCAAAAGAAGCCATCTTTTGTTGCAAAATATAGCACATACATAAAGATCCATAAAACATAAATGAAGAGATGACCCCAGTAGACATATTTAGCAGTAGAATGACTGTCTTCTTCTGGCAGGAGATGTGATGATAGCTGGATGAGACTCCAGAGATGCCTGATAGAAACCTTTTCCCAAAAGCTCTATAAAGGTCATGTGAGCCTGGACTAGTCCCAAGAGGAAGTGTCAGGAGGTTTGCAGAGGTTTGAAGTGAGGAGAAAAGGAAACCAAGGAGGTACCTAAAGTGAGACTAGGGAACCAAAGAGAGTTTTGACTCACTGAGCATAATTCTACCACAGTGGATGTTTTGCAGTTTTGCCTTTGTCTCCATTTTTTCTATTAGCTAATGTTTCCATTTGATTTCCAAATCTCATTTCCAAAACTCCCACTGTTTGTGTTATATTCCAGCAGTTGTAAATGTGATTTTATAAACTAATCCTCTACTGTTTAACAGGTGTATCAGCAACAATTATACAAAACCTGTTACAGTAATACTTACCTTTGCAGTTACATCATTTTATGAATCAGGGTTTGTTTATGTCAGACATTGGAATGTATGTAAAAGAAAATCCCTGTCCTCAAATAATTTGTAATTAAGTGGAAAAAATAGGACTTTTTCTAATTTGTTTAATATTCTCCTTGGTGTGCTATGTATGCAAACATCAGTTTTAGGATATAGAAGAATGCTATTTACCAAACAAATAATTTTGGAGACTTTGTGTGTATATTTACATGTTAAATTGAGAACTAATCTTGAATTTTAATCTAACACATCATATAGCATGGAAAGAAGCCTGCCAGAAATACATTTTGAGAGAGGAGTATATCCTAGATGTGTTTCTGTCACTCATCCAATTTGGATCACTCACAGTTAATGAAGAAGTTGAAAATGAATGCAAATTTAGCATTTTTAAAGACTCATCTTCTAAAAAATTGAGATTTCCAGTTATACCTTCTTTAAATGTATTGAAAGCACATATTACTACATTGGGAAGTAAAATTATTGTTTGGTTAATGATAGAAGTAGTCACACCATCATAGACACTTCTAAACAGGCTATTACTCAGATGAACTAAGTTACCATATCACATATAACATACAGGTCTGCCATGTGAAATACACGTCTTCATCCATCTTGAGAAGCAGCCTCACAGACTTTGAACACAGTAGCCTAGCTTCTTCGTCCTCTCTGATATAGGTAAGAGAGCTAAATGTAGCCGAAATTAGGGAGTTTCAGAAGTTACATATTCCACAAATATTTAAATGGGTGCCCATCTTGTGTCAAGGAAAGTGATCGGCACAATGCTAGAGCCAGGGCAGGGTGTCAGGGAGGTAAACAATTACAGTGAGTGCGATCAACTATGAGCAGCACAGAGTATTGGGGAAGCCAAGTGGAAGAAGGTGGACGCCATTGTCCTCCTGAGCCAGAAGAAGAAAGAGTGGGAGTTAGGGCAGCAGAGAAATGAGGGGAGGGCAGGAAATCAGATTGAGGCTGAGAGAAGGCAGATGCCTTGCGAAGAGTAGAAGCAGTGTGGCACCAAGTGCAGAGGAGGCCTGCAGTTTGCTGAGAGCCTCGTGTGACCTGAAGGATTTGGATTTCCTCCTAAAATCTATGGGCAGCCATTGAAGACAGGCAAGAAAGTGAAAGGCCTGTTCACATTTGAATTTTTTTTTTTTTAAAGACTTTATTTATTTGACAGAGACACAGCAAGAAAGGGAACAAAAGCAGCGGGAGTGGGTGAGGGAGAAGCAGTCTTCCCCTGAGCAGGGAATCCGATGCAGGACTCGATCCCAGATCTGGAATCACAATCTGAGCCTAAGGCAGCTGCTTAACGACCGAGCTACCCAGGTGCCCCTTCACATTTGAATTTTAAAAGCATCCCTCTGACATTTTTATCTTCACTTTTCTGAAACCTCTGCTCTTCCAGGTGGAGGCGCTCTCTCTCTCTTCTCTACCTGATAGCCAGCTCATAGTTTGTTTCTCTTTGGGAAGGACAACCACTTTAATGTTTATGTTAGATATCTTGATTAAGCTCTGTTGGCATAACAATTTTGAAACAGAAAATAAGCTTTTATGACCATCCTTGTGCCACATGTTTATGAAATGCTCAAGCTTGCCTTTAAGTTTTCAGTCTTCTATTGCTGAAAAATTTGGCATCTTTTAGGTCTCATGATAGTGGCAACGAGGCATTTTACATGCGTTTTCTCATGAATCCACTGAGGCTGGCAAGGTCTGTACCATGATTCTCGTAGTACACGTGGGTGCGGAAGAGTGAAGAAAGGTGCTCAGGTCAAGAAAGCAGACAGGGTGCTCAGGATACACTGTTGGAAGTATGTAGTCAGGATCTGAACCCAGGTTAAACTATAATGTTTAGGTGCTTCCCACTCTGCATACTAACTCTGTGGGTTGAAAATTTAGAGGATATAGGACCCACTGGGGTTCTGATATCGGATGGTAGTTTGGTGAGGGCATAAGGGCAACCCTAAAGATAAACCTGATTTAGATTTTTTTAGGGTCAGTGGTAGAAATGGGAGAACTAGAAAAAGAGGGTTTGTCTAGTAGTTCCTCATGTAAATATAGCTGCTTCTCATTCCTGTCCCAAATTTCTGGGTTTTGTCTTAATAGCACATTTG